TTTATACAGCACTTTAAGGTTTGCCATGCATTTTTACAAATATTATCTTACCTTGGGAGGTAGGTGTTATTCTCATTTTACAAACAAAGAAACTGAGGCAAACAAGTTGAGGTACTTGTTTAGTTAGTGTCTAAGACAGGACTTAAACTCAAGTCTTACTACAGGTCCTGCTCTATACATTTTGCCACCAAATGTATATGGTAAAGCTTGGCTAATGTATTGGTTAGGTTTGCTGAATGCTTCCCCACCGTCCCCACCATTCCCCCAGTCCCCCTGTTTTAAGGATTAATTTGTTACCAGGGACTGTTTTATTGGGAGCGACATATTCAAAAATGCAAGTGATATTGTTGTAACGAGAAATCAGCGAGTGAGACCCAGACGTGATTTAAGATGTGGACTTTATTAGCACGCGGCTGCAAGGGGTATGCACATCCAAATCAAGCAGCCCCCATCAGGGGTCAAGCTAGGGTTTATATAGAAAAGAGCATGGGAAAGAAATGCGAGGAACACTGATGAGGTAATCCAAAGATGCAGGTGTCTTTGGGGTCTATGGATGGGAAAGTACAGGGAGTATACAGGACAGGGAGGGGGATGGATCTTTGGAGTCTGGCAGGAGGAAGAGTCCTTGGGCTGGTCAAGGACACCCCTCTCCCTCTGTCTTGATGAGAGAATGCTCTGCAACAAGGGAAAGCTTTCTCACAACACAGGAACTTACTGAGGAATTGGGAGGCTTCCAGAGACACGATCTGAGGGCTGGGGCCTGAGCAGCCCAGCTCTGTGTAACTGTACGAGGGAGAGAGATAAGGGTCATGCTGAGGCCCATGCATGAATAACTGCTAGGCACAGTGTCCTTGGGCTGGGGAATGGTTGTTAGAGACAGTGTTTCTGAGACTAGGGAGACATTTGGGGCACAAGTGTAAGCACAACCACCCAAGCACCCCATCATTACAAGTCAGGGATCACACAAACCAGACCAGGTGTCTTGATCTCTGGTATAAATGTACTTATCTAAAGCAATTATAATGCAAGCTTTCTTATCCATTTGCTTTGGAGGTATGGGCTATGCTGAGCTATGAATACGCAGGTTCCTTAAAAGCTGAGATCAAATGTTATCTCCTACAAAAAGTCTTTCTTGATACCCCCCCACACACACTGTTAAGGCCTTCCCCCTAAAAGTTACCTTGTATTTAGAGAGGCAAAGATGTCTTAACCGTAGCTTTGCCTTGAATACACAGAACCTCACAAAAAGAAAAAAAACTGTTAAATCCACAAATGAAGACAAGACTTGAAAGCAATTTCATTTTTAATCACAAATGAGGATGTCTGCTTGGATTTTTTTTTTTCTGAAAGACTACTTATTAAAGAAATTCTCAACAACTTCTACTTTGCAGTCACAAAAATAATAATAAAGTTTAAAGGTTTCTGAAGTGTCAGAACAATCACAGATATCATCCTGAATAGAAGATGAATGGTTCCAGAATTTTATTGTTGCTAGGAATATAAGAACTTCAGGTATATAAGTACATTTCACTATTGTTTAGATTTAGGAGGAAAGAGGTCCGGGGGAAGATTAAGCACCAACTTTTGCTTTCCATGGCTTAAAGGGCCCTACTACCTAAATGGTAAAATAATGTTCTGTATTACAATATAAAAACAAATCAATTAAGATTATTTTTAAAAGAGTACAATTTATATCATCTAGTTTTACTAAATGACTTTTTTCTCCTTTTTTTGTTACAATAGATGGGTTGCTAGGTAGGGCAAAGGGAGGATATATTTGGAAATGAATGCGTTGTATAAAGGAAAGATATCAATGAAATTAAAATTTAAAATATGTAATACATACTAAGCCTGGAAGTCAGAGTCCATTCATGTCCTTGGATTGCAGTGGCTCAAGGATTGGCTAATCAGGGAATATTTCCAGAAAGAAGTAAATTTTAAGTCGAATTGTGAAGGGTAGTGCCATAACAATTGTGAGAGAGAGTCAGAACAAAGAAAACTCAAGTGAAGAATTGGAAGTTTAAGAACAAAGATGATCTTGTGACCCTAATTACAAAGGTTATATTGAGCTGAAGAAGTGTTTTGTAAGAGAACTATAGTTTAGCTCCATGGCGCACAGTGGGAAAGTGACATGAGATGGTTTTGATTTTATCAGTTGGATTATGAGGGGATAGTGAATGGATTAATTAAGGAAGAATGATTAATAACAAAATAATTCAATTTATGAATGGCATAGTTGACACAGGTTGGAAGGAAATATTTGAAAGAATTCAGTAGGCAGGATACTTATAAAGAATAATTTTAAGTACACTACATGCCAGCTTATTTTGGCTTTTGCTATGGCTAATTCATATATAATTCATATTCACATCTTCATACACACACACGCACACACACACACACACACACGCACACACACACACACACACACACGCACATTTGGGCTTTAATGACACACCTAGTTACAGCAACATAAAATGGTACCAATACCTCAATTTTGCAATGTATTACAAAACACCTTAGGAGATTTTCTGTCCTAATTTCCAGCAGACTTCTGCTTATGAATTCTCCATGCTGTGCTTCACAGAAACATAGTTTATGTATTAGAATCTATTTTAAAATTAGGAAATAAAGAAGCACATATCATCAAAGTTAAACATCTCCATGTGCAAGCCTTTCAAGATGTCTTAACTGTAGCTTTCCAATACTGAGAAAGAGATTAAGAAAACAAATTACCTTAATGAAAGATGACTTTGGTTAAGAAATCAAAGAATGCTAGCAACAGTTCACAGCAATAGAAGAAGAGACATATATCATCTTGGGAACCCTTCTTGACAGACAAATAATTACCTGGGAAAATTTTTCATAGATACTATCAGTCATCATGCAGCTGACCCAATGATAATGAGTCAACTTCCCAGTGAAATTTAAAATCTGAAGGAAATATCCTTAAGGGATGGGATGGTTTCTTATTCATCTGTGAATCCCACACTTTGCCTTGAATACACAGAACCTCACAAAAAGAAAGAAAACTGTTAAATCCACAAATGAAGACAAGACTTGAAAGCAATTTCATTTTTAATCACAAATGAGATGTGTCTGCTTGTTTTTTTTTCTGAAAGACTACTTATTAAAGAAATTCTCAACAACTTCTACTTTGCAGTCACAAAAATAATAATAAAGTTTAAAGGTTTCTGAAGCGTCAGAACAATCACAGATATCATCCTGAATAGAAGTTGAATGGTTCCAGAATTTTATTGTTGCTAGGAATATAAGAACTTCAGGTATATAAGTAATGATTCAAAATAAATAGGATTTAAATAATACATCTGTCGTGGAGATGGATTAGATATGCTTCCCTTTCTTATTAATTCTCCTTTCAAGGGAGTTTAACTAGATGGACCTGCTGAGCTTTCAAGCTTTAGGGTTTCTACAATTTTTTACAAGTATTTATGCACTTATGAATCTTCCATAACATGCTATTTACTTTTCAAAACAATACCTCATACCAGTTGTAAACAATGCAAAAATGAATTTAAATGACGTTCATAAATCCTTTCTGAGATATAGTCCTGTTTCGTAGTAACATTTTGAATTTAATTTTGGGTCTTCAGAACATTTTGTAGTACAATTGTCTAAATGAAAGAATTGGTGACGGAAAACAATTATATTTTTTAAAGAAAAATCACATTATATTACATGTTCACATTTATAATGCCACAAAAATTAATACATGTGACTATCCTTCACACTGTCTTTGATTCAGCTAAATTGGTCCTGTTATTCCTCACATATGAAGATCTATCACCTATCCCCATGCCCTCATTTGAACTGTTCCCCTTACTTGGAATGTACTCCTTCCTAACCACAACCTCTTTGAATACGCAGGTTCCTTAAAAGCTGAGATCAAATGTTATCTCCCACAAAAAGTCTTTCTTGATACCCCACCACACACACTGTTAAGGCCTTCCCCCTAAAAGTTACCTTGTATTTAGAGAGGCAAAAGACAGGAAGATCTGAGTTAAGTGCTATCTCAGATATATACAAGTCACTTAACATCTACCTTATCTGAGCAACTAGTTATCTCTTCCACCTAGTGGGGGGTCAGGGCCTCCATCTGTAAAAACTGTGTTTAATATTTTGGTCCTCACTTCATACCATGGAAGTCTGAATGATCATGGTATTAAAAGATAAAATGTTAATATTATGTAGTACTATACATTTTTTTATGCATTTCTGAGTTTCTAAACTTTTTCTGTGTCATCCTCTGGCCTTCACATGTCATCTGAAGCTTCTGCAAAACTCCCCCAAAATTCCCATTTAATTTCTTATGCTGACCTACAATATACTGAAACCATGAAGGGGAAATTTGCTATGTGGAAAAGATAACTATATTGATCTGCACTGGCAGGGTAGTTTCCTTATTGGGAGTTTTTCATTCCAGTGGAATCACAGCTCCAATCCCTGTCTCCAAACAGTAGAATATGAACATCTTGAAAGGACCGATTATTTTATTTTATTTTTTGTCAATGGGTCCTTTGTGGCTGGCATAGTGCTCATTAAATGCTTAATGAGTGGCTGATTTATGAGAAATTACCTTTTTAAATAGAAATTAAAGAACAGAAAGTTTATTGTTATGATTAACTAACTCCTACAAATTCTCAAGCATATTAAAAATCTGCCTTATGTAAACCACACCAGTCCAGGGACTGAATTTCTTGACACACCCAATCTTTTAAAAACGCATAATGCTTTCTATTGACAAATTGTCATTAATGTGATTTAATCTTTTTGGGGGGAACTTTGTTTTCACATAGACATATGTTCAATTATAAGAGTACTTTTAAAGGGTCACAATAACCTGGTATGGTAGTTGATGAAAATAAGATTATCCAAATTTTTGCAGATGAGAGAGATGAGGTCCACAGAGGTAAGGTGACTTGTCCCAAATCAGACATCTATTATGACAGGGCCAAAAATCTTCAGTTCTGATTAAAAGTCCGGATGGCATTATTTTCACTACACCAAGATGTCTTCATACCTTATCATGAAAACTAGACTTCTAGATAATAGAAGGAGATGAGAGATTTTTAGTCAAGAGGAATCTGGAGTCATCTACTCTCACTCCTTCATTTTATAAATGAGAAAAATGAAGTCCAGAGTCAGGGTCACACATGTAGTATGAAGTAGAGCCAACATCCAAAGCCACGTCCTCTAACTCTAGATATTTTCACTGATCCATGATGTCTTTTATGCTTTGTCTAACAGTGGTATACCCTTCAAAATTCCTTAAATTCAATTTAAAATAAGGCCATCATTCTCTTCCACTGACACAGTAAATCATACAATTTGCCTCCTCCCCCACAAAAAACAAACACAAGATAAGAATCATAGCTGTTCCATATGCATTTTTTTGGCACAAGGACAAAATATTGATGAAAACATGGGAAACAACTATGTTTAATGACAACAATGTAAATGAAAACAAAATAATGTTAATTTCAATTAATAAATTGCAATGACCAATCTAGTTTCCAGAGAACAGATGATGAAACACACTTGGAAGTGAAACAAGATGCAAAACACGTAGACATGTTTAGTAGATGCTTGTCTAATATTGTATATGCTACCATTTTGTCAGTCTCAGTTGAGAACGATGCCTGCAGTGAGAACATCTAGATTCAAATTCTATACCTAATTCTTTGTACCTCAATGAGCTAGATAAAACTCTCTAAACCCTAACTTCCTCATTTATAAAATGATGGGGTTGGAGTGGATAGCTTCGGAGGTACCTGTAGCTGCAGAACTATGATTCAATGAGGTTATGTAAGTGACTTCTAAAAGATTAATAGAATATTGAAAATTGAGTATGGTATTTTTTTAAAATTTTAACTTAAAAACAAAACCAAAAAACTTCAGCAAGTTCTTTTTGCAAATGGTACCACTTTCCATTACAACACAGAAATTCCCTTTGATCTCCAGGCAATTGTTTAAACTTAGTCTTGAATATGCAAAGGATTTAAGAACTAAATTATACTACATCTTTCAATGTGGTATAAATATTTGAATAAAAAAGGCTCAAAGAATGTGTCAAATCATTTCAGCTGGAGGTAAAGTTTCCTCTTAAATCTTAAAGTTGCCAATAGATTACCCCAAGTTTGGGGCATCAAGGTGGCACCATGGATACAGCACTGGCCCTGGATGCAGAAGGACCTGAGTTCAAATCCAGCCTCAGACACATAACACTTACTAGCTGTGTGACCCTGGGCAAGTCACTTAACCCCACTGCCTAACAAAAAAAAAATTAAACCCCCCCAAGTTTAAGAAGATGTGCTTAATTAATCACAGATGTTCATACTTTCCCCCATCAAATGATCTTGTATTTATTTATCTGTATGGATATTGTATCCTCCAGTAAAGAAGTGTCAAACTCAAATAGACATGGATCCCTTGTGCTGTATATTGACTTACAAAATCTATTGTATTGTATTGTTCTGTTATTTTGTTAAACATTTCCCAATAGCATTTTAATCTGGTTTGAGCCTCACTCCAGAATTTTACTATCCATGCATTGCAGGAATTTGGCACTTCTCCTCTAGTAGAATATATTTAAGGGATAGATTTGGGGGGGGGGAAGGGGTAAGGGAATCATTGGATCTTTATCATCCAGCACAGACTCTTATAAATAGTAGGCGTTTGATGAATGATTGAATTGAACAGTTCCATTGCAATATCAGTTTTCCCAGTGAACCTTCTCTATTTTGCTACCATACCCAAAATCTCACTGACCCTATCTTCCTGGAATAGTATAAATGAATATATTTGAGACATAAGAAATAGCTAAGAAGCTTTTTATTTTTTTTTTAATACCTCAAGGCCTGGTAGACCAAAAAGGCTTCCTAGAGACATGACAAACACCCACTAAGACAGCCACCATATTTCAGTTTCAAACCGTGCTTAGTCCAAAGACTTATAAGACTCAAGGTTTTTCTCCTTAAATGAACAGACTATTCCATAGGAGCTATTATCTTATTGTTGACTAATAAACCCATAATTTCAGCATTTGCCTTACCAATGACCTTTAACCATTAGTATTGTAACTTTTCATTTACCAATAAACCTTATAGCTTAAAAATATTCTGTCCCAAAACAGAGTAAGTAGTGATTCAAGTGTTGACAAAAGTCGTATTTATTGGGGCAGCTAGGTGGTGCAGTGGATAGAGCACTGGCCCTGGAGTTAGGAGGACCTGAGTTCAAAGCTGGCCTCAGACACATAATGCTCATTAGCTGTGTGACTCTGGGCAAGTCACTTAACCCCAACTGCCTCACCAAAAAACAATAACAACAAAAATCATATCTATTAATGCACTTCTTCCAGTGACTCAGTCATAGTTTTGAAGTGACTTTCGCAGAACAAGTTACAAAAATATGACAATTCAGTTTGAAGAATGAGGCTGGCTGCATTTAATAAGCAAAAACTAGAATAAACTAAAACTTCCGTCAAGGTAAACAAGTTGAAGGTGCTAAAAAAACATTATTTCATAGAACAACAGATTTTGAGCTTTTTTTTTTCTTAACAGAACCTTGGCTGCAGTCTGGGACAAAAAAAAAAAATACCTGAAAAGAATCTGTGCTATAAAATACCTGAGTTATTATCCAGTCTGTGCTTGAAGGCCACCAAGGAGGAGGGAACATTTACTTTTTTTAAGGTAACCAATTTCACTACCAGATATCCACAAAGTTTTTCTGGACGTCAAGTCTTAAATCTGTGTCTTTGCAACGTCTACTGAATTTCTCTTGGTTCTACCCTCTGAAACCAAACTGCCCAAGTCTTCTTCTCTGTCCACATAACAATTCTTCATGTAAGTTATATGCAACTATAATTTTGCAACTCCCACCCCAAGAGTCTTTTCTTCTCCAAAAACTGCTATTTCTTGTAACTGATCCTTATATGACATGGGCTCAAGACTCTTCACCATTCTGGGTGACCTCCTCTGGACATTCTCAAACTTATTAATACTCCTTGTAGACTGAGATTCAGAAGACAGAATAATACTTTCCAGATAAAGTCTAACAAAGGCAAACAGCAGAAGTATTATCACCTCCTTATTCCTGTGAGCTATTTCTTAATGCAGCTCAAAACTGAATTCACATTTTTCCCCACAGCTTCACAGTACTGATTTTTATTTACCTTTCCCCCCCAGACTAATGGCTATCTAATCATATCTAACCTTCCCCTCTCAGACTTATTACATTGGCTGGTTTTGTTTGTTTGTTTTTGTTTTTGGAAGCCAAATTTATAGAATTTCAATTGTAACACTCAGACCAATGGCATAGCATTTTAAGATTTTTTTTTATCATCCAGGATATAATCAGTCCCTTTCAGATTATCATCAGTGTTAAAGGAAGAAAAAACAAACAAAAACACCATTACCTTTTTTCAATGCCCTATACATTAAATCTCTATACCACCATAACTCTCAATTATTCCTGGTAAGTTTTTTGTATCACGTCATACAAGTTGGCAAAGAATTTAAAGTTTTTAGGGTCTTTAATTTTTTTTTTCTTCAGATGATGTGATCAAATATTTAAAGATAGAAGTATTCATAAAGTTATCTAATCCCATCTTCCTATTTTACAGGTAACAGAACTAAGGGTGAGATGTTAATTGAATTGGCCAAAGGAATATAGGAAATTAGTGACAAAAGCCAGTTAGAATCTAGATTCAACTTCTTTTCACTGTACCATGACACCTCTCTGAGGTTATGGAAATAATTCAAGTGAGAGGTGATATAGGCTTGAACCAATGTGATGCTCCTTGAAGGAAGAAAAGGGATGGATGTGAAAAATGTAGAAAAACATTACTTGCAAGTGCTTCAATGTCTCATTGACAGAGAAGAGAGTGATGGAACATTCAAGTACCTATTTCTAAGGTCCCTTAAGCCATATAAAATTCTACAAATAGAGCACTATCTTATTGTAATTGGGACAACTTCTAAATATTAAAAAAGTATAATACTCAAAGTGAAACTCTATGAGAGCTGGGATAGAACACCATTCCTTTTCTCTCCTCACCCCCATAACTGAGCTCTAAAATCATTATATTCCAAAGGTAAAGAAATTACTTAATGTGCTGTAGAAAGATGGTTGTTGTACATTAATACATCCACTGATTTAAACATAATTCAATTTCTTTGTGGCAGGAAATAAAATCTTATACAATGCGTGCGCGCGCACACACACACACACACACACCCTTCTTTATTTTTACCTTTCTTGCTTCTTTGATCATCTTGCGAATGGTTTCCTTTATGGTAAGAAAATGTGCTCGTGGTGGGTGGAAAAGCAGATCTATATGGGTACCTCCCAGTAGTCCAGGCATCACATAGGGCCATCCCAAATCCAAATTTGGCGCTTCCACATCAGACTCTATGGGCCAGTATGTTCCTGAAGAAGAGGTGTCATCACAAGAATTGTCAGAGCCATGGGCTGTGCTTTGTGCAAACTTCTGAACATTTTTCAATATATAGTCAATTTCCTCCTCAGCCAGAAACTCTGAACATCGCTCTTTGGCAAGAAATTCTTGGTATGCTTCTAATCCATTCTGTATTAAAGTATCAACAGCTACCCGATACCATTCCTTATAATGAGGTTCAATGTAGTTGTCTGATTTGCATTCATCGTTCAGTGATGAAAGCAGAGATGATGTTTCCATTTTTGTAGATGTTTGGTAAAAAGTACTTTCAAATGTCCATTAGTGCAATACTAAAATGGCCCTGTGGGGAAGGAGAAAGAAAAATCAAAATTTGTTTGACTTTCTGCACTTCAAATAATTTATGACACTACATCCTTATGACATTTCAGTTTTTCCAGTCCTTTTAACAGTATTTCAAATACAGATATGTTTCAGGCCCTAGGCTTTGCAATAGCTGTCCCACATTCTATTAAGTCTTATTCAATGACTTGATATATAGATTCTCTTTTATGACCTATCTTTTGATAACCCTTTACTATGACACCCCTCCTTTCTTCACCAATGACAAGAAAACTATCTTCTCCAACAGTCAAAAGTAACAGACACTCTATATTTCTGTCTTAGAGTAAGCAGATAAACTCTGTTTTCCATTTGTTTTTGTTCTCTGAGATTCAATTTGTAATTTTAAAAGGATATATGGTTAAGATATTCTTTATGAATACATAACAAGTACTTCCTGAGTGCCTAGTGTATACTAGACACTTATAAAAAATGAAATAGAATACATAAACTCTGGTTTCCTTGGGTGTACTTGGGGAGATACGGTCTATGGACATTTAGCATTTACATGCCTACTATGTTCCAGATATTGTGGGATAGAAGGAAAAAAACAACAACAACCTCAGTAACTACAAAATCTCCACTCTCAAGGAGCTCACATGAAACCATACCAATAAGGAAGTATGAGAATATCAAAACTGGAGTGACAAAATTGCTACAGAACTTCAGAAAAGGTAAAATTTGTTTGAGAGGAATTAGTCATGGCAATTCTGCAAACATTTATTAAGCCCCTCAGTGCAAAGCACCAAAGAAATAGACAAAACCAAAAGGGTCCCTGCCCTCAAAGAGTTCACCTTCTACTAAGAGCATACAACATGTATGCAAATAAGGGATAGGTTCTGCACCTGTGGTTTTATTACTACAGGAAGCTCTTGATGAGTAACTTTTCTTCCAAAGACAGCTGGTACTTTCTCTGCAACTTAGAGTCACCTGATGGCACAGAAAGATTAAATGACTCATCCAGAGCCACATAGCCAGTATATGTCAGAGGTAAGACTTAAAACAGGGTCTTCTCAGTTTTGAGGTCAGCTTTCCAGTGTCAAATTCCTTGTGTGTATTCTAAACAAGGAAATGCAAAGTAATACAAAGCAAATGCAAGAGGGACAATGAACCAATAACTAGGGTAATCAGAAAAAGTGTCATGTAGGAAGCACTGAGTTATCCTTTAAATTGTTTTTTTCTTTGAATTGTTTATGTAGCATTTTTTACCTCTATCACGTCATTCTACCCTGAAGAAAAAAAAATGATTAATAAAACCCTTACAATAAATATGTGTAGTCAAGCAAAAGAAATTTCCATATTGGCCAGTCCAAAAACATGAGGCTTATTCTGCATATCCAGCCCATCACCTCTTTGCAAGGAGGTGGCTATAATTCTGCATCATCAGTTCTATGGGATGATAGTTGATCAAGTGAATTGTGTTTAAACAAAGCTATGGATTCTAGGACATGGAGCTAAGGAGGGAATACATTCCAGACAATGTTTACCACTTGTAATAAGACAAGGAAGAGATGGAAAGTCACATATGAGGAACAGCTAGCAAGTCAGTTCTATTAGAATGGAGCATGTGTGAAGGACAATACTAAGAAATAAACGTAGAAGGAGGTGGAAGCTAGATTGTGGAGTGGTTATAAATGAAAGACTAAGGATCTTATATTTCAATCCAGAGATAATAGGAAGCCAATGATATTTTTTTTTGAGTAAGGTAGTGATATAGTCATATACACACACACACACACACACATATACACACACACACTATGTATATATATATATATATATATATTAAAGGAATATCAATCTGACAGCTCTATGGAATATGAATCAGAGAGATAAGAGAATAGAGACAAGAAGGCAACTGTCATTATGGAAGTGATAAGAGCTCAGGCCCTCCTCTTCCTTTACGTAATTAGCTTATATTTACTTTGTATTTATTCTCTATACACATATGTGTGTATGTAGAGATATAGATGACATATACATTGTACACAGACATAACTAAACTCCATATAAACACACATATTTATTTATGCCTATACATATATACACGGCTCCAAATATGTATGTGTAGATGTCCATATTCATATATGGCTCCAGTGTATGTATATATGTATGTATGTATATCATCTCCCCAAACACAATGTGAAGCTCCTGACAGTAGGGATTTTTTTTCTATCCCCAGCATCTAGCACAGGATCTGCCACATAAAAAGTCCTTAAATGTTTGTTAATTGTTTTGGCCTTCCAGGATAGACAGAGAGAAAGCATGCACAATTTTAAGGAAGGGAAGTATCATTACCTAAGGCAGAAAGGCAAGAAGGACTTTAGCATATTCATAGCTGGCTAAAAAAAGCTTTCTACCTATACAATCAGGCAAGGAAAGCAATGTGTTAGGAGGATTAGTCTACCAGTCTTTAGAAGAAATTGGAATGGAGAGATAGGAGAGGCAGAAAGATTAGTCATGTGTGGGACAAGTGAAAGTTTCTCATATGAAATGGAAGCTACCCCCAAAAATTTAGTTAAGGCTTTAGCATTAGCTGGGCCTAAGTTTCTTTTTCCTTTAAATCATGTGATCGGGTCATACATCTGTTGCCCACCTCTTCCCTTGTTTTGTAACCACCACCCCAGCCTTATCTTTGCCAAATAAGGCAATCTTCTACCTCCCAAGCTTGTTTTGGGTAAAATGTATCTCTTAGTTTCTGGGTAGAACTAAGGTCTCTTACCTCAACCAATGGGGATAAAGAGATTCAGGAGGGTGGGGTTTTCTTAGAATTGTTTGTCTAGGGGTATATAACTGCTTGCTTGCTGCTTGTATCCTGCCTCCCTACTCCAGTCTGCCCTGGGTAGGTGATGCCCAATTCTCGCACGAGACATGCTAGAATAAAACTTCCGTTTCTACTGAGACAAATCTCTGAATTTTTATTTGGGTAAGTGGTCTCAATCCCACTCAGTCAAGACTATTAGTAAAAATAGAAATTATGGAACCAGAAATAATTCAAGAGATATTTTAAAACTGGTTGGATATAAGGGATTAAGGAAAGGAAAAGATTACAACCCTGGTGACTAGAAGAATGATACTGCCAGTCACAAAGAATTAGGGATATAGAAGATAGGCAACAGCTCACATGAAAAGGACCCTTGGGTTTTAGTGGAGTACAAGACCAACCTGAATACATTATATTATGGCCATCAAATGAGCAAATGTTAACTTATAATACAAGCATAGTGTCCAAACTAAGGGAGGCAATAATCCTGTTATATTCTGGCCTAGTCCTAAACTGAGACAAAAATTACATTCCAATGATATTCAATCCTGGCTACCACATTTAAGAAACAACAATGAAAATGGGAATTTACCCAAAAAAAGGCTATCAAGATGGTGGACAGAATAAAAACCATGCCATACATAGGACAACTGAAGGGATGAGAAATATTAAGCTTGAATAAGATACAACTTGAAATAGAGGGAGAGGGGAGGAATATGGTTGCTAGTCTTTTTCGTATAATTGAAAGGTGGTCTTAGTGAAAAAGTTTCTTAATTTTAAAAGAATAGAAAAATAGATACACATATATACACATATAAATACACCTATGTATATATGCCCACATATATCTATACATAGCAATACATATAGCCATACATATATAATACATATATGTGTGTTTGCATACACACATATGACTTCTAACATTTAAAACTATCCAAAAGTGAAATGAAAAATCATGGTCAGTAAAGCATTCCCCATGGGATGACCATCAACTGAGAAATTGCTGAACATGTTGTGGTATATGATTGCAATGGAATACTATTGTACTGTAAGAAATAATGAACAAGATGGCTTCAGAAAAACCTGGGAAGACTTACATGAACTGATGCAAAGTGAATTGAGAAGAACCAAGAAATTATTGTACACAGGAACAGTAATATTGTAATGATAATCAAATGTGAAATACTTGGATACTCTAATTAATTTAAGGATCCAAGATAATTCTGTAGGATTAATGATGAAAAATGCTATCAGAGAGAGATCTGATGGGTTCTGAGGGCAGACTGAAGAATATTTTTTTCACTTTATTTTTCTTGTTCATGAGTACTTTTTCTTCTGTAACATGGCTAATATAGAAACATATTTTTTCATGACTTCACACTTATAAATGGTATTATGTTACTTGCCTTTTCGTAGGGTAGGGGAAGGGACAGAATTCAAAACCAGATTTTTTTAAAAAAATGAATGTTAAATTTTTAATGTAATTGGTAAATATTTAACAAAATCTAAAAATAAAATCTAATTGTGAAACATTTAAGGAAACAAATAAAAACTATTTTTTTAAAGAAAGAGTTCTCCATGACTGGGATGAGAGGGATAGTCTCCAAGCAGAGGGTATATGATAATGCACAAGGGATGTTACAGAGAGAAAAGCTCCAACCCAACTGTGGGCTGGACTATATGACTGCTGAGATCTCTTCCCATTCTTTAACTTTATGAAAATGGGAAGTTGATAGATGAGAGTAAAGTGGATTGTTAACCATAACTTCTGTGTGTGATAAATTTTTCATCCGTGGCAATGCTCATCATATTTCTATGACATTCAATATACAAATTACTAATAAGTAAAGCATAGTTTCAAAAAAAATGATGTTGCCCTCTTTACAATGCATTTCTAAAACTTGGCCTCTTTACAGTGAACTTTGAATTTTTATGATGCTCATTCAGATTAATCTTTGATTTGTTTTTAGAAGTCAAAATGTTCCCAACTCTCCCTGATCTGTCTAGATTCAGCAAGTATTCTCAAGCCTGTTAAAACCACATTCCCCACTGTTTGGCTTTGGGCAAAGTAGCTCACAGCCCAGACTATAATGACATTGTCTGTTTTAACCATTATGGAATATCCTCTCTTGCTTTTAAAACCAAATTCAAATACTAGTTCTGCTTGAAAGTCTTTCCTGATTCCCCCAGTCAGT